TTAACCGATCCAGTGGTCACCCTACTATTGTTTCAAAACACGTTATTTTCCAACCCCATGAAACTGAGCTAGCGCTTTCTCCCCTTAACCTTTCCCCGCTTTTTTGAGCCAACCCCTTAAGTCAAACAAATCTCAAACAGCAAGAACAAGCCAAGTGGCTAAGGAGAAGGGGCCATTTGGAAGGGACTGGAGCAGAAGTTGACCAATTATGTAAACCACTTACACCACTGCTACATATGTACCGCACACACACACCCTAACGCACACACCCTCGCAGAGAAAAAAACTGAGAACGAAAACACGTCAATGCGATAATTATTAATAATTATCCACTCGTCCTTCTTTTTCTTTTTCTGTTGCCGCTTCCCCTGTTTTTCCTCTTTTTACCACTCGTTCCTTTTCTGCTCCACATGAAGCACTAATAAAAATCACACGATATTGGTATATTATTGTTATCCTATTTCAAGTCGAACATTACTTACTTATGTTTATAATCTAGACCGTAAGATTGTAGCTATAATATGTGCGTGATCTGTTAATGATTTCGTAGTTCAAAAAGTACTATAGACATTATATATATAAGCCACCTGACTCGACGTATTCCCCACCATTTTTCGCCGTGCAGCTGACTTGTTGTGGCCGCTCCTTCGAGGACACTTCGTCCTCTTCGAGGCGCTCCCTGCCCACTACCCACTACCCACCCACACGCCACCACCCAAATCCAACCCAAATCCTGGTGCTGATTTCCCGCTGAGTGCCATTGCAACAAAGGCACCTCCCCTCGCCGCCGCCCACTTCGTGTGGCCTGAACTGCTAATGGACGGGCAAAACTAAATTATGGCCAAAATGGTGTTGGCTTTCTGGCTGGCTGCCACTTATGTGCCACTTACACATCCACAAGCATCCACGTATACACACACACAACCATACAACCCGGACTTCCCCATTTTGGAGTTCGGAGTTCGGAGTCCGGAGCGTGTGCATGAAACATGTAATTATAAAATTAACGATTTCCAAGTGGCTCAAAGCGACGTCGCTATTTGGGAGCGTGTCAGCCAGGAAGACGAAGAGGAGCGCACAAACAATGGTCAGGATAATATGGCGCAAGGAGGCTGGTCTGGGTAGAGTCCATATTTTAAGGGGCGTCTCGAATGTCGTAAGCCCCTTCCGATGATTAGCTGCAACTGTACTAACAGACATGTCCTCTACAAACGAGCACATCGTGTTCAGTTTCGCAGCTTTACATATCTGGTATGGTCTGCTTTATCGAAGTATTTGTATGTAATTCAGGATACCGCATTTAGAGTATACATCATTTGATTTGAATGTTTTTTTACAATAGAAAGTTGGAATACTAATGAAATTACCAATGAAATAGTTACTCTCACAACAACAAAATACACACAACTTACTATTTCATGGAAGTTTTACTATTAAATAGAACCAAAGCGACAACAAAATACACATCACTATTTTGAATAGTTATTAACATACTTTTACAGTTACGTAACTATCCGTATTGGTCAATTTTACCTATAAAATTTTTTTGTGTGTAGAAACAAGATTTCCAAAGCTTTCTTTGGATACATTTATATAAAATGTAACGATTTAAACAAATGTATTTAATTTTGTCATCTTGTTTTTTTATCGCGGACAAATTTCTGCAATTGTGACCTTCAAGGAGGAGTATGAACACATTCCATTTACAAAAAAGCCCACAAATCACGGACCTCTTGAAATATATTTGAGAGTTTCGGCGCATATAGCACAGCTGGATATCTGTTTTCAAGGACATATTTTTCAGATCGCAGCCAAGGCCCCAAGCCTTTTGAACACAAGTCCCATGGAGCGATTGTGGTTTTGTCATTAGTCAAATGGCAGCCAAGGTCCTTCCTGGCTAAGCAACAACAATGGCGAACGGGGGCATTACGGGGCTAATATGCGGTCGGATACGGACACGGAGACAATGCCGTGCGATTCCCCGGGGACCCCACAAGTGAGCAAAAACAAAAAGCCAGAAGCGATGCAATCGATGGCAGATGTTCCTTTCACCTCCTCGGTTAATTAGTTGGCCACCGAGGCTTTTAACCTAATGAGAATCGAGGCAGGGAGTCGGGGCCCCGAGATCCAGGGATCAAAGGATCAATCAACCAATAATCGAAGTGAATTTCCCATTTGCATTCAACAAAAGCTCAAGGAACTGCTACGCCCACACCCGCGGAAAACATACGAAAACGACTTATTCCAAATGCATCTCGAGTGGCCGTCGAACATCAAACAAAAAGGCGATGCTGAAAAAATGAAAAATAAAGCGTAAAGAGCCGCATACAAAGGCTTTTAGCCCACGAAGTGGACGTCCTGCATATGGAATGTGGTATATGTACATATACGTATACACGGAATAGTCGCCAAGCACGCCTCCATTTATATTCGTGATTTATGCGCCGTCTCTTTGAGGCTCAAGTGCAGATTACATTATAAATATGAAATAATGCTCGGGTCCTCGAGGACAATGCGAAACGGAAACTCCTTTTATCGAACTTTTGTGTCCTGACCACTTCTGTTTCGCTGGGATGTGAGGATGGCTGCGAACCAATTACGAGGGGATTGGGGTCCAAGCGAATGAGGATGGGCCTTACATCCCAAAGGTTCATCGGAATATCGGGCTTTCGTGGGGAAACCTAAAACCATGGTGTTTAAAGCGCTCTTCGCAGTTTGTACTCACACGTGTTTGAGGTGTGGTAAAATGTAGCCATTTAAATGGTGCATACCCTCAGCTGCACTATTTTGAAAATTATTAAACGGAATAAAAATATTTTTAGCTTTACAACCACCCACGTTTCCAAGACCCAATTAGATTTAATTCATCTGTAAATTTACAATGCCACTTGAGACTGCACATGGAAAGATTAAAGCGGAAAATAAACCGTGCAGATGCTATCAAAATTGTCAGTTTTAATGGGTTTTATTAATGCCGCTGCTTAAGAGTTAAGATGAAAGCCGAACTTTTTATGGAGATGAAAGACACGCGAAGAGAAGGGAAGTCTCTTAAAAGTGCAGATTGTCTCCGTTTGAAAGTTTAAGGTTCCATTCGTTCATTGATACAAAACATATGTATTACAACCATGCGCGGATCCTCGGGGGGATATAGGTGATAGATCCCTTCAACTCGGGTAAAAAAGTATATGTAATCTGTGTTCTATTTCAAACTTTTGATTTCTACTCCACATTTTTGTATACCCCACCACAACTAAGTTCTGGATCCGTCAATGATTATAATACAGTATTTCAGTGCTTACCATCAAATGACAATTGACCCGATGGTTATACTAACCATTAATTTACCCAAAATAACAAAACTAATGTATCCCCTTTGTTTCCCACCGTGTAGCCTTACTTACTGAGTGCTAATTACTTAAAATATCGGACAGACAGGCTCCAAAAAACCAGCGATAGGAAAGAGGTGGTTGAAAAAAGAGGGTGGGTGATTGGATGGTTTTGTGGGCTGACTAAGTGCCAACCAAGCAGTTAATTGAAATGGCATATTGATTATGCAATTGTTATGCAATGCGACTAATTAATGTTTGCAACTGCAGTGCAAGGCGGGGAAAGGGGAAAGGGGGAGGGGGAGGGAGGGCTAGGCCATGGCAGCCGCAGCTAATCGATAAGAGAGAGCCGAGTTTCCCGGAGAGTAGGGGCAGGGGCAGCCAAAGCTTAATTAACATGACCAAGTTTGGCCTGAACAATGCGCGCGCTTTCGGGGCACAGGCGTGGAATGCGGGAAACGGAAAAGCGAAGGGGACTTAAAACTTCCAGGAAAAACTTTACTTTCGAAGAGAATATATAAAAGAGCGAAGAAAGCGGGAAATGTAGAGAGCGAAGACAGATTTGGGTGGGATTCCGACTCGATTTTCAGGCCAACCTATTAATTCCCCTTCCTTTAAGGCCAAATAATACGAAATTGGTTTCATATGTGTAATATCAAAAGACTGCATCTAAGATTTCGAGAGTATAATATAAAGATTAACTGAAAAATAATCGAGTAAGGTTATATAAGCGAAAATTAATTACAAAATAAGTTGGCAAATAGACTAATATGCAATTAAAATATTAAAAATATTCAAGGATACTAACTTTTTAGTACATTCTAAAGATGTGTATTATAAAAACCAATAAGAAAGAATGTTGCTGAAGAGTATAACAATACCATTTAGTTATGGATCAAAATACCATGGCCCAATGTCTTGAACAAATTCAAGTAAATGATCGGTAGTTAGTTAAAATTTGGTAATAATAAATTTGACCTATAACAGAACTCTGAACCCGTTTTGGCGGGAGTTATCTGGGAGTATGCCTAATTGGTGGTATAAAAGGTATCTTCGAATATTGGAGCTTGTTATTTAGGCGAAGCAATACTTCCAGTCTGTGCCTTTATTAAGGTTTATTTATCAACTAAACAAAAAACAAGAAATACGCAGAAAAAGATAGTTCCAATTGCACACACACTCTCTCACTCTCACATAGATACATATATATACATATACATTGGGACATATAGCATCATTGGCGTCGCAAAACAAACTGAAATCTGAAATCGAAAAGCCGAAAAACTGGGAGCGAAATGAAATTCAGTGTAATTAACACGCACACATTGACCCCTCACACGCACAGTGTTTACAGTGTACGTGAGGGTTTTCCAGGGCGGAAAGAGAGGCAAATAGGGGAGTGCCCAGGCGGGAGAGAGATAAATGCCGGATAACCCCTCTGCATTGGAAATTTCTGAGGTCAAAGCGGGTGAGTGAGGGAGACGACTGCATGGCGCTGCTATAGCCATCCCCTTCACGCCCGCAAAGATGGCGCTGCAAGTTGTTGTTGCCTTGCCCTGTGTGTGGGTGCGGGCGCCGACGCCAGCAGCGACGCCGACGGCGGCAGCGGCGTTCAACGCGACGCTTTTGCTGGCGTGCAGTTCGCTTTTCAATTTCAGTTCGTTTTCGAACGCCGCACCGAACGCTCCAGCGCTCAAAAACACACCAAACAACAAAAAACAAGCCCACAAAAATAAAATACATACAAGCGCCAAGTGCGTGAGTGAACTTTTTTTCCTGTGTACGTGTACGTGTACGTGTGCGTGTGTCCGCCAGCTGCCATGAGAGTGTGCGATAAATAGAAACTTGGGAACTCCGACTCTTTTCGAAAACAAACTCAGAACCCAAACAATCGCTCAGTGATAAGTTCCGTCGGCAAAATGCAGGCCACCAAGATGCGAACGCCCTTCGCCATCCAGGAGATTTTGGGACTGGGCGCCTACCAGCAGCAGAACAGCGCCAGTGCCACGCCCTCGGAGGCGCCGCCCTCGCCGGCAGCCACGCCCCCGCCCACCGCGAGTACGCCCGCAAACGGCTCGATATCCGCCGGACAGCAGCAACAACAGCATCAACAGCAGCAGCAGCAACAGCAACAGCAGCAGCAGATGGACGGCCTCAGGGACTCCCGATCCATATCGCCGGACGTGTCCAGATTGTCGGCGGCTGCTGCAGCCGCGGCGGCGGCGGCCGCCCACTGCCAACTGCCCGTCTTCAACCCGGCCAACTTCTACGCCGCCGCCGGATACGCCGCTGCAGCGGACCCTGGCAACGCGGCGGCCGCCCACCACCACCACATGACCACCTTGGCGGCGGCCGCCTATCTCCGGGGATTCCTGCCACCCGGGTTCAGCACGCCCCACGAGTTCCGGGGACACTTCCAGCAGCACTTCGGCGCCCAGTTTGCAGGTGAGTCAGGTGATCGAGATCCCCGGTTTCCCCACCTAAGTATTGGTATAGCCTATTGAGAACCTCATTTCACTCCTGGTACTACCATCAGTTATAGGGCCCTGTTTATGAGTAATGCCTTAACTCGTAAGAGTACCAAACAAATCCCAGTGGGATCTGGTACTCCAAAATATGTAAATATGATATAACCAAAATGCTCGTACATTTATAAATAAATTTGTACACCCAATTAAATAGTTACAAAGGCATTTGTGTTTAACTCAACGCAAAGCATATAGCGACCTTAACTTTTTATTTACCGGAGTTATTGCCCCCGAAATCCACATACATTTCAATCACTTTCCTATCTCGGTTTCTGTTATAGATACAAACTGCCTTAAATGCAAAATAAGTTAATTTAAGTCCTTTTTTAACCTATATCTTGGGCCCTACCTTCTTTTAACGTTTGTACTCTTGTACTTAACGAATATTCATTCTATCTATTCAATTCAAAATTATATCTACAAAATATTGAATTCTTAAGAATGCCACTCTCTGGAAATAAAATCATGGTACACACTTACCAACTATTTGTGAACTTACAAATACATTATTTCATATGTATTCTGTTTCTAACATTGAACGTTTAAAGAAAAACATTGGAAATAAATGAATTTGTTGCCCTTTCTGATGCCTAATTCGATATGGTTCAAAAATCGACTAGATTAGGATTTGCAGGATTTAAAACAACGATGGTATATTTAATGCCAACTAGTTTTAAGGAATTTTAGTTGGGCATCCCCAGAATACGCATCCCAACTAATTTTTTTTTTATAAAATAGAGCATGAATTGATATTCCTCCTGCACTTTGCCAGTGAGTTGCTTCGAATGGGGTACAAAAGGAAGGAGGGATGGCTAATTAGGGGGAGTGCGGGGCAGGAGCTGCATAGCGCTGAACACTCTGTTGCATCTGCTGTACGGGTGCAGCCAAGTGGCAACCGCATCTGTCTCCTGCATTTCGTACTCGGCACTCAGAGTCTTTCGTCCCTCGACCTGGTCCTTTTGCCCACCCGTAGGCGCAACTAATAAGCTCAAAGGGTTGGCAATTGAGTCGCGTCCTCATCGGAGTTAAAACAATGAAACGACACGATTAAGCACAGCACAAAGGGCGTGGATGCGGACACAGGGGAGGTTACCGGGGTCCAGCTTATTAATAACACTTATCCACTCGAAAAAACGCCTTAAATTTTGGATATTAAGCTCAAATACTTGATTTGCCATAGGTCATTTAACCGGGGGTCTAGAACTTCCGGTTCTACTTAGTAGTTACAATTGAACTGTTTCATACGTTTGGTGGTATACCAAAATCATGTCATTATCAAAATCATTGGCAATTTATAGTTCTGGTATGTAAGTAAGTAAGGAGTAAGTAAGTTGGTAATGAAGTAATTGCTTTATTTTAATTATACAATTGCAAATTATAACCCTACCTTACGTCTTTAATTTCCTGAATGAAGCAGTTTAACTTGCTAAGATTATATTACTGATTTTTCCAAGTGTACACACAGAATGAGGAGGAATAGAAGGAGGGGCGTGGCAGGGGCAGGGGCGGTAAGTGAGCGGCAGCCGTCCTGTCAGCAAAGTGTGAAATCTCACACACACTTCACTCGAGTCACGATTTTGGTTTCTCTGTGTGTGTGTATCGCTAATTAAGCGCATAATTTTCAGTGAAATTAGCAAACTCCAGTTGGCACGAGCATCCATGCGATAGCCAGTGGAGCTTCATCAAAAGAGGTTCCAGCTTCAGAGAATTACGGACAGTTCGGGAATATAACTTTAATGGGTCTTACTCCGGTAATTCCAAAGCGTATACGAAACGAACAACGCACAAACAGTTAGAGTCCTATAACTTTTGGGAGGTCGTATAAATGTCTCTAAGTTTATAAATTTTTATTTCCATCTGGATGACACTGTTCTACTTTTCAATGGAATATGGCAAGCTGTTCAAAGGTGAAGTAATAATAAATAAAACACTATTATGTATATCAGCCTGTTTTTTGTTTATTACTATACACCTGCAAAGTTAAGTATTTCTACAAAATATAATATATAAAATTAAATAAAGATATCATGTTATTTGCTTTGGAGCACAAAGTTCTTGGAACCTTTTTATGCCGCATTTATTATTTTAAGTGCATGTAGAACCGTCTTTTGCCGTTGAACTCCATTTCCCGGCCGAATGGCCACGCCCCCGCAAGATTTTCACCCGAATCGCCCATCTCCTTTCCGCAACACTTTCCACACACTCTCATGGCAGACACAATTGCATCCGAGAGTTACACGCACTTAATTTGTTAAATTTTCACACTTTACATCTGTTTATTTGTCATTCCGTTCCCTTTGTGTGGTTCTTCGTTTCGGTTTCTTCGTTTGTCATTCAGTCATTCCGTCATTGTTGACCTTTCCGGGAGCTGCTGCCAACCACTTTAAAGTCGTCTTTATCCCGCTCTTCTTCTAGTTCTACCTTTGCACTGCGCGAAAATGCGGAAAGCGAACTTTATTTAATTGTCCTTTTATAATAGGTTTGATCAGAAATAAGAACTACCAAACCCCCCATTTAAACCCTTTCAAACTACTACCTCATTTGGGTTTTACACTTAATTGATTCCTTTTTAATAACAAATAAATTTACCCTGGAAGGAATCTAGATAAACTGGTATGATTTAATACCATAAAATTCCAAAAGGTGTTTTTAGGTTACTTCTAAATGAGATCTTCATCATCATGAGATGCATCCACTGTGTTCCCAGCCAATTCTCCTGAAGTAGGTGCACATTTTTTTCGCCTGCACCCTGGCACATCCTTTTCAACTTGTTCTTCTTAGTCATGCCCATCGCAGTTATTTGCCGAAGGTCCGTTCGCACTTTGTTTGCACAACAGCAGAAGTTGAGACCCCGAGGCTCCTTGCGAGCTGTAAAAAAGGCAACAAACGCCGTGTCCTTTCCCGGTTACCAGATCCTGGACCCGAGGAACACGGGGCGTTAGTTTCGAGGCAAATTGTGTACAAAATAAATCGACTCGAGTGGTTAACCGCAGCTGGAACATGGGAAAATAGCAGGGGAGTGGGTGGGCGAGCAGCAGCCTTTCAGTTTTCTTTTTCTCGGGCGAAATTGCTACTTGCACGTTGTTAGCCTTAATTTGAGTGGCCATTGAGGAGCTCTCTTTTTACCTCGGCTTTCTGGCTCTAATAAATATTTGCTCGAGAGATCCTTGGCGTATGTTGTGTCCTTTTGTTCGCATCGCTTTCCTCGTGTAATGCAGGCCACTATTTTTCTTTCTCTTTTTCCACCTTGGTATGGTGTCTGGTATTATTCTTGTACTTCTATTTTTCTTCGCACATTTGGCTGAGCTGCCCTGTGAGCCATTTGGTTGTAAGCGCCTCTTTTTCTCGCCCATTGTTGTCTTGCCGCCTTAGTCATGTGTAATTTTCCCTGCGCTCTGGAAAGTTAATTTGTCTTAATGACAAATAATTGCAGACAAATTGGTTTCCCCAATTGGGTTTCCCCAAAGAAATAACTTCACAGCAGATTAACGGCTTTAGGAGTGTTTTCTTCAACTTCCATTGATTTAGTAATTGGTATATTAACTTAAATCACTTAACGGTTGCAAAAGTACGAAAAATAGGCTTTGCAAACTTTCTAAATACAGATTGTCAAATGTTCTAGAGTAAGATCTAAGTTCAGGAACGAAGTTCTTGATTTAATGCAATATTCAACTGAAAATTAATGAAGTTATAAAAACTGTAACACCGTTTAAAATACTCTTAAATCACGACCAATTTGTTTTGTTTTTAAATTTCAAGACCACTTTCTCTGTCTAAATTAAAAAAATGAGCTGTCATTTGGTTCTTTTGATCCATACCTAAATCCAATAATCCTTGTGGCAAAAGGTCCCTTGTCACGCGTGTCCTTGCCGACTGTAAATCAATCGCACCAATTTTGAAAGCCAAAAATAATTACCACAAAAGAAGCGGAATAAAGAAAAATCCCAAGGAAAAGAAAACCTCACAAAAAGCAGCAGCGATAAGAATCTGTACTCTTCACAAAAAAGGTAAAAGGTGTCTCAGATATTTTTGCGATATTATTGTGCGCCGCAAGGACGCACTTCCGATACAAATCCTTGCACATTTCCTGCCCCTTCGGCAAAGGAAATTCGATAGTTTTCGCACATTTTCCCAAACAAGAGACGAAAACTGCTGGGAAAATTCCCCAAAAACTGTACACAAATTGCTATATCAAGTGTTAATTATGTGACAATGAGTAGGTCAAAAAGTAGAAGAAGAAGGAAACGAGAACGAGAACGAAAATAACAGCTATTATTTTCTTAATCATTTTTTAATTAGAAAACTTCAAGTTCGGGTTTCAACGAAACCGGACGAAACGAAAACAAATATGGTCGGATGATACGCGTGGTTTTCACATTTAGGGTTTTTCCGAAATGTTGCTTCCAGCGAAGTGCAACCGAACTGCAAGTGGCCCCGCTGGATAAACAGAGGGCCAGAAATTGATGACAACAAGTGGCAGGCATTGAAAGGAGCTCAGTCCTACCACTGGCCGACCAAAATTTGAACCAGCTGCATGATCAGCCAAATGCAACCTGGACCACTCCACTTCAGGCTGCAGTTGCACTCGCACTCGCAGTCGCAGTCGTCGTCGATTTCCTAGGAAGCACTCGAGAGCGGTGTGTAAACAACTCGCACAGACACAGATACAGATGCAGATGCAGATACAAATACAGATACAGATACAGGCACAGATACAGATTTTCCAACCTCTTGGCTCTCAGGGTCCGAGATGGAGCCGAAGATTGGAGTCTGCCATCTACGAACCACAAACTATATAAACCTACAAGGCTAGTCAGCGCATCAGTTAAGTGGCTTTGTTCGCCAGTTTAAGCCCAATCCAATCCTAGTTCCAATCCCAGTCCCAGCTCGAACATTTTCTGCATGATTTTGCAGTTA